GATTTTTGAAAATGGTATTTTAAATTCAGGTCTAGGTGTAATTTCCTTATTATTGTTCCCTAATATGGATCCCTAGATTTTCTAACGGCCCAATAGTCAAATATATGTTGCAATGATATGGACATTGAAGGCCTGTAAGTATGTCTCTAGTACTCGAACTTGGGTTGGCCCATCTGAATACTCCATTGCATGTGTCACAACTGAAAACTTTTGGGGAAAAAAAATCATAACTTCATCTATTAAAAATCATAACTTTTCTAAAAAACAATGGGAATTTGCACTTTTTGTTCTTAATATTTGCGATATGATACTAATCTACCTTAAAAATTTTTTTAGCATTAGATATTCTCAACCTTTGACTTAATTGCAAATCATGTCATTCCATCCATTTTGGTTGTTAAATTTGTGTAAATTTTGGTCGTTAAATATGTGCAAATCATGTCATTTCATCCATTTTGCTTATTCTAACAATTTTGTTACTTGGAAAGTAGTTGCGTACTACACAAAGCATATTATAGGATGTGTCTGATGGATATTATTAAGAAAAGAATGTATTTTAAATAATGATATGATAAGAAATATATGGTTAAAAAATAAGGAAAGGTCATTGATCTGATGAAAAATATTATTTTATTCAAGAATGCGTGGTTGAAAATAAGTTTTGAAATAATATATTTTTAGAGAATGTGCGTCAAACATGGACTATTTAAGTCAATACATAATTTTTTAATTTTACCAAAATCATGAACTTTTTTTTTAATCCCAAAATCATAGAAAAGGTCTAAATGGATTTCGCACAAAAAAAGAAAAAAGATACCTTGCATTGAAATATATCTAGTTCATGTCCAACATAGGATCCCATACTATATGACTTGACATTTGAATTATACAACTACAATAGGATATATATTTTTCAATTAGACCCCTAATGTTACTTAATGGTCACTAAATCCACCACTCTTGAAAATAGAAGGACAATTAGCAGTTATTAGGTGCGGACTGGCGTAGGGTCCTTCCACTAAACCTCTGGCTATCCATTTGTAGGCTGCTTCTGTTAAATGTATACCATCCCAACTCACATATTTAGAAGGGTCTTCACAA